AAAAAGGCTGGGTGTGGGCACACTGGCACAGCAGATTTATCTCTCACTGACAAAGATAATATAATGCATTGTACTGTAAACAATATAAAAAATGTACAGGCCCATATTGTGGATCAGATAAACTGGTGTAATACAAACCATTGCAAATGAACGCTTAATGTGGAATCTTGTAGCCTCTTATTAAAACTGCATTTAGTATTTGCAAATTTTTCAACCATCAGTGAAAATGGTGAGATCGATTTCCCAGAAGTTGGAGGGGACAAAGCATTTAGACATTTTTACAGACATGATTTATAAGGCTTGGGACAGATGTATACTGGACATTGTTCTTTACAGTTTCAGTTAAGAAGCTGCTCACACCACTATTGTTTTATTCTTGCAACTGAGATTTCTAAATAAAAATCACAGAATCATGCTCTCTGTCGCTGTCTGACAAAACTTTAACCAGTTTCAGAAGCTGCTGAAGACACCGACTCCATGAAGGCTGTGAGCTTTCACAGACCACACTGAATGGATGGATGGATTAATTCATGAATGGATGAATAGTATGGTGGAAATTTCCACCAACTTATGATGGTCAAGATGATTTGTGGGCTTTGTACTTCTCTGTACTTCGCACAGAAATTAAGGACATTTGTGTTTGTTCAACTATTTCTTTGTTCTTACAGTGCTTCTTGGCAATCAATGTAAAGATATGTAAGTGATTTCTAACATAGACACCTTCGTACCTTCATACTTTCCAATTAGCAGGTGAAATATATCATATATATAAATATATGTATATTTATTAGCAAAAATATACATATATATTTAGCAGAAGACCTGCTCTACCTCCTAAGCTACAGCCACCCATGGGGGTCCTTATAGTGGTCACTAGATTGGTCACACATGGCTGTTGGAGGGCATCCCTTCAACCAGCATTTGTCACAAGTCTGCCATTGTGGTTGTGTTGGTAACGCCCAAGCCGATCTCACAGGAGGTGAATGGGATTGAGGTCAGCACTGTAGGCAGATCATTCCATCCTTTCTACTCCCAAATGCTGGAGGTAGTTTTTCATTATGCTAGCTCTGCAGGGGCTAGCATTGTCATCTTGGAGGACAGAGTTCGGTTGCAGATTGTGGAGATATGGAATTGCCACTGGTTGCAGAATCTCATCTAAATGAATCCTATGATAACAAGAATTGCTCTGCCAGTGAGAGAGACACTTTCCAGTGGCATAAAATGGTATCAAACTTCTGCAGCTAATTAAGATAAAAATGTGTGTTGTACCATCATTCCATCATGTAAACAGAACAGTTCAAAGAAATCATAAAAAGCTCAATGACATTCACCCATGATGAGTAGATAGAAACTCTTAACTCTGAC